ACCCATTATCATAAATGCTTCTGATTGGCGCAAAGCTGCCCCATCAATCTTAAAAGCTACTAACCACGTTCCTCAAGCCAAGATCACTGCCGATGGTTCCGTCAGAGTTCAAGTCTCTTCCACCGACCTTTTTCGTCTTATTCAAAAAACTCTTCGTGACCTGTCCATAACTTTCCATACATTTACCCTACCCGAAGATCGAACACTGAAGGTTGTTATTAAAGGCATCCCAACTGACATTTCGGAAGACGACATCAGTAACGAACTAACCAACTTAGGATTCGATGTCAAAATCGTAAGACGGTTTGGAAACAAGTCTAAACCCCTACCTATCTGCCTTGTATCATTATCTAAAAACCCTGCAGCAGCTGAAATCTACGAGCTTCCCCACTTATTTTACTTATCGGTGAAAGTAGAAACCTACAAAATATCTGGTCCGGCACAATGCTTTTCATGCCAACGGTTTGGCCATGGTTCATCGAATTGCGGCCACCCTCCTCGCTGCGTAAAATGCAGCGGCCCACACGCTGCAAAAAGCTGCACAAAAACTGCAGAACAAGCCCCGTTATGCTGTAACTGCGGCGAGACCCACACTGCCAACTTCCGAGGTTGCGCTTATTACCTACAAAAACTCGCAGAAAAAACACCTCAAAAGAAAACTCCTGTTAAAACCCAAACACCAAACTCTGACAACTCAATCACGGAAACACCAATACTCCAAAACACACCAACCCAATACGCAAGCGTCGTTAAAAAAACTCAAACCACCACTCAAAAAAGCAATGATAATAAAATAAACATTTCTGATGTATTAAACCTCCTGTCAAACTTGCTGAATGCGCTGGCCTCGAACACAGACGTTAAATCAATTATGACACTCACAATAAACTCATTTATCAACATCCTCCCCCCCCTCAAAAATGATTAACACGCCACTACGAATAATACATTGGAACGCCAATGGCATCAAAAGTCACGTCCAGCACGAACACCAACGCCCAAAGTGTTAAGTGACGCACAACGAATCAGACACTATACGTAAGTACCTCACTCTTATTACTCCCCCCGTCGATCACGAGGCAAACGAACCTGAGGGTTCGCAGCGCCGGGTCTCGCGTTCGCACGCTTCCTTACCACCAAACACCATGGCTCAAAAACGTAAAAAGAAAGCAATCCGTCCTTCGTCCAAACGTGTTCCTCAGGGGACTAGTTCAAAATCGCCAACCCCTTCTTCGGAATCAATCAACTCTAAAGATAGCTGGCCGACAACTGCTTCACACTCTCACTCGCGTACCCCATCTGTAACCAAATCGATCAGCTCCGCAACGAATGTAACCAAGTCTTCTCGCAGTCCTAGTCCACAGACCAAAATCAATATTCCTCCAATCATCATCGACTCAAGAGACTGGCGTAAATCTGCCAAAACTATATTAGAAGTAACCGAACTCAACACAAATGATTTCACAGCCAAAATCGACTCAAAAGGCTCCGTCCGCCTACAGATGAAATGCCCTACTAACTTCAGAAAAATCCAATCCGCGCTAAGAACCAATGGAATTGCGTTTACCTCTTTTTCTCTCCCTGAAGATCGCACCCTAAAAGTGGTGATTAGAGGAATACCTACCGACATAGCTGAAGACGAAATCACCGCTGAACTTGAACTCCGAGGGTTCACGGTTAATACGGTAAAACGATTCGGTGCAAATTCCCGTCCACTCCCTATGTGTTTAGTCATCCTGGCGAAAACTACGCAATCCACGACTATATACGAAATTACATCAATGTTTTATCTCTCAGTTAGAGTAGAGTCATTTAAGAAATCGGGTCCAGCGCAATGCTTTCTTTGCCAACGTTTTGGCCATGGCTCTAAAAACTGCGGCCAATCGCCACGCTGTGTCAAATGCAGCGGTAATCATTTGGCCAAAGAATGTACCAAACCTAAACAAGATCCGCCATCCTGTTGCAACTGTGGAGGTAGTCACACGGCCAACTTCCGCGGTTGCCCATACTACCTTCATCTGGCGGCGTCATCGAAACCTGCTGTAACTATACCACCTCCGCCTACTCAATCCACTTCAGCCTCTTTCGCTCAACCGAAATCTGATACTAGTTACGCTGATGCCGTTAAATCAGACAAAAACCCAATTTCCAACGAAACAAAAACCAATCAAATCAATATCGATGAAATAATTACTCTGCTGACTGACCTACTCACCGCCCTTACAACGGATAGCGACCCCAAATCTATCATGGTCTCAACAATCAAGTCATTCCTCTCCCTACTCACTAGTCGTAATGGATAATGATCTAAAAATTATTCATTGGAACTGTAACGGCATATCAAACAAAATCCTAGAACTTCAATCGCTAATTCAAAAAATCAGGGTCGACATTATTTTACTTGGAGAAACCAAACTAAACCCAAATACCAATATCAAATTTAACAACTTCCACATCTATAGATCGGATAACGAAGCGCGCCCCGGCAATCCTTCTTACGGGGGAACTGCCGTTCTCGTTCACAAACGCATAATTCACCGCCAAACTATTTTAAAAACATCAATGAAATCTACGTCAATTGACATATCTATAAACCAACACATCATTCGAATATCTTCAGTCTACAAACGTCCTGGCGTTCCATTCGTCGACAACGACCTTCGTGTGTTGTTAAACGGCTGCGATTGGTTCATAGTTGCGGGCGACTTAAACGCGAAACACCCGCTTTGGCACAGCCGCTGCATAAACACAGCCGGTCTAGCACTTTACAACTACGTCCAAAACATGGACCTTACAGTCGTAGCTCCCGACTCTCCTACTTTCTTCTCGTCAATACCAAATCACCGCCCGGACGTACTCGACATCGCCCTGGTCAAAATTCCACACCTATCAATAACATCTACATCATTAAATGAATTATCATCTGACCATAATCCAGTTCTTCTGCAAATCAATGACTCTCCAATAACTTCTTCACCTCCAACCCCCGTAAACAGAATAAACTGGAAAAAGTTTAGTGACACTCTAGAAACTATCTCCAGGGGTATACTACCACCAATCAAAACTCGTGATGACATCAACCTTGCAGTAGCCACCCTCACGTCAAATGCTCAAAAAGCACTAGAAAACTCAAAATATGCAATCAACAATAAATTATTTTATCGCGACCGTTTGCCACCTGAAATCATCAATGAAATAAATGCGAAAAATCGTCTACGGCGCGAATGGCAAAGGTACCGCGACCCGGCCACAAAACAACAACTTAACCATAAAACTGCCTTCATAAAGCTAATGCTTGCCACTCATAAGCAGGACGAGTGGGATAAGTTTCTCTTCTCGTTGGACACATCTGATGGGTCCATCTATAAACTAAACAAAAACCTTCTTAATAAGCGTCCAGCAACTCACCCGCTTATGGGACCAAACGGCCTAACTTACTCGGCTATTGATCGCGCAGAACTATTTGCTGATACATACCAGCAACAGTTCACGCCAAATCGTGGCCCAGTCCTCCCAGAAGTAATAAGCAGCCTAACATCTATCAATGATGCACAAGTCAGTAGTAATGACTATACAACCCCTGGGTTCATCAAAGACATCATAAACCATCTACCCAAACGGAAAGCCCCGGGTGAAGATCAAATCACGAACAACGCTCTTAAAAACGCACCGAATAATTTTATTCTTAGACTAACGCATATTTACAACGGTTGTATTCGTCTTTGCTTCTTCCCGGACGACTGGAAAAAAGGTCAAATCATAACCATACCTAAACCGGGAAAAGACCACGCTGACCCCGTCAGCTATCGTCCTATCACGCTCCTACCTACTATCGCCAAAATTTTCGAAATAATCATTCTCAGAAAACTGAAGTGCAAAACCGAACACCTGATCAAGGATGAACAGTTTGCTTTCCGTCGCCAACACTCTACCGTTCTTCAACTGATCAAGCTCACGGACCAGCTCTGCAAGAATCGTAATGACAAAAAATATACTCCGGCTATCTTTCTCGACGTGGAAAAGGCCTTCGATAAGGTCTGGCACGAAGGTTTACTCCACAAGTTAATCACAATCGGTACTCCAATTCACATAGTTAAACTTATCAAATCGTTTTTATACGGCAGATATTTCAACGTTCGAGTCGAAAATTCCGTCTCCAGTAACCGTCCAATCAGAGCAGGTGTGCCACAAGGGTCCTGCCTGTCACCGTACCTATATCTTATTTACACCAACGACATACCTGTTAACGTAAACAGCAGTCTCGCATTATTCGCCGACGACACCATGTTTTATACCTCAAATCGAAACCCGAAATACGCAATTGCTGCACTTCAAAAACAAATTGACCTGGCCTTAACGTGGTTCAAAAACTGGAGGCTAGGCATCAATACAAGCAAGACAGTAGCTATTCTGTTCAACAAAAACACCACGTTTAATTTGAGTAATATTACCATGGCAGGAGTACCCATCCCGTGGACTAACCATGCCAAGTACCTCGGAGTCAGTTTTGACAGATATCTAACCTTCAATAAACACGTTAAAAATACTCTTGTCAAAGCGCGTAGATGCAAAAACATGCTTAACCCCATCCTAAACAGCCGAAGCCCAGTGCCGCTCAAAACTAAAATACAAATCTACCTCATGTATATCAGACCTCTCCTAACATACGCCGCCGAGGCCTGGGGCCCTTGCATCTCTCTCTCAAATTGGAAACTAATTGACTCAGTTCAGACCAGCTGCATACGGACCAGCGCTGGCCTCATGAAATTCGTATCCAACCAAAACGTTCGAGACTCTGCCAGACTAAAAACCCTACGTGAAGTAGTCACAGAAAACTCAAAACGCCTATTCAATCGAAACACCTTCTCAAATCATAACCATATAAAAGAATTAGGCCGTGACGAAGCCGAAACGACAATTAAGACCACTCCAAAAATACGACCAAATACTGTCTGAAAAGAGTACATAGGCCAATCAATGGTCGTCCTACATGCAATGCAATGCAAAAAAATGGCATCAAAAACAAAATTGATGAACTCAAAATCCTCTTAAACAAAGAAAAAATTGATATTGCACTCATCAGTGAAACCAAACTTAAACCTACTATTATTTTAAAAATTACAAATTATTTCATTTATCGATCTGATAATACACTCCGTCCGGGCACTGCCGCAAATGGTGGAACCGCTGTAATCATTCACCGACGCATCGTTCACCGCCAGGTGCATCAAAAAACTTCTCTAAACTCAACATCCGTTGAGATCTCTCTAGGATCAGACTCAATTCAAATATCTGCCGTTTATAAACGCCCTCAGTCACCTCTCGCTGTAAGCGACCTCAACCTCCTGACAAGCAGCTGTGATTGGTTTATAATTGCAGGCGACCTAAACGCCAAGCATCCCTCATGGAACAGCAACAGCGTTAATCCGGCAGGTCGGGTTCTATACCGCCATGCCCAAAACTCCGACTACGTCGTTACCGCACCCAGCTCACCTACCCACTTCCCAAATAACCCCGTCCATCGACCAGACATATTGGACGTAGCACTACACAAACTCCCACTACATCTTGTTGAAGTCTTCAACTTAAATGAATTATCTTCAGATCACAACCCCATTCTACTCGTTATTTCAGACCCCCCCTGTGACCGCCGCACCGCCACATACAAGTCGTAGAATAAATTGGCTAAAATATGCCAACTTACTTGAGAAATCAATTCTAAACTCAAATGTACTAACAGATACTTCAGAAAAAATCGATTCAGCTCTCCAATACCTGTCCAACACCATCGTGTCCACAGTCGAATCATGCTCATACGTACCCACAAGCCGCTACAATCAACAAATTCCGAATGAAATCCTTGTGGAAATTGCATCGAAAAACCGCATCCGTCGCGAATGGCAACAAACCCGTGATCCTGCAACTAAACGCCAACTTAACAGTAAAATCAAATTTATAAGAACACTCCTGCAAACTCACCGACAAGATGAATGGGACAAGTTTTTGAACTCGTTGGATATCAATGACAACTCCATCTTCAAACTCAACAAAAAGCTGCTAAACAAAACCCCAGCCACTCACCCGCTTTCAGGACCAAACTCTCTTTTATACAGCGCAAAAGACAGAGCTGAGCTCTTCGCCGTTACTTACGAACACCAATTCACCGAAAACCCTGGCCCAGCCATCCCTGACGTTGCCAACTTTGCCCAAAACATAAGAACCACTCCCTCAGCTAACTGCTTCACATCCCCAGGTACGGTACAAAAAATTATAAAAAATTTACCTAAACGCAAGGCTCCAGGCATCGATCACATCTCAAACACGGTCATACAGTTTTTACCCAAATCGGCGGTTCTCTTATTAACGAGAATACTCAACGGATGCATGCGTATTGGATACTTTCCAAAATCTTGGAAACGTGCAGTCATCATCACAATCCCAAAACTTGGCAAAGACCTTCGCCATCCTGGAAACTACCGCCCGATCTCACTCTTATCATCGCTGTCAAAAGTATTTGAAAAGGTCATCCTCACCAAACTCAATGCAGTAATAGGCCCCAAAATAAGACAAGAACAGTTCGCCTTCCGTAGCCATCACTCGACAACCCATCAACTGGTAGGCCTAATCGACCGTCTATCAGTAAACAAAAGCAACAAACAACGCACAGCAGCCATCTTCTTAGATATAGAAAAAGCGTTCGATCGAGTATGGCACTCGGGTCTGTTATACAAACTCCACCAACTAAACACTCCGGCCTACCTGTTAGCACTGGTAAAATCTTTCCTAGAAGACCGGAGCTTCATTGTACGGGTAGAAAATGAAATATCTAGCGCAAAACCTATACGAGCAGGCGTCCCACAAGGCTCCTGCCTCTCTCCGATTCTTTACTCCGCATACACAAATGACATACCACTGAACAGTAACGCCTCTCTCTCGCTTTTTGCTGACGATACCCTATTCACAACCACTAACCGAAACCCTTCAAGAGCAGCCATTCAGCTCCAAAAACAGATTGACTTAGCGATGGCCTGGTTCCGAAAGTGGAAACTGAAAGTCAACGCTCAAAAATCAGTGGCAGTCATGTTCAACCGCCCTAGAGGCTTTAATGATTTCAAACCCCAAATAAACGGACTAACTATAGAATGGTCTACCAGTTGCAAATACCTAGGGTTAACTATAGATCAAGACCTAAAATTTAAAAAACATATCAATATCATCACAAAGAGAGCAACAGCAATTAGAGGTATGCTATACCCAGTGCTAAACCACCGCAGTCCGATACCTATCAAAACTAAAATCACCTGCCTCCAATTATACATAGGCTCAGTTTTAACATATGCCGGCCCCGCCTGGGCGCCATTACTGTCAGGTTCGAACTGGAGGAAGGTTGAATCGGTCCAAAACATCGGTTTACGGACCATTACCGCTTCACCCTGGTTCGTAAACAATATCACCCTTCGCAAATCCACCCGCACAGTCACCATCGAAGACAAAATCAAGATAAACAGCAAAATAATGTTCCACAAAAATCTTACATCTCCCCACCCACACATCCGCGATCTAGGTCACACAAGAGCTAACCCACTCCTATCGATAAACATAACTCGCCATCTTGATTGGGCACATTCATAATAACATATATCAATAAACCATAACAACCCCCGCCAGTCATAGGCTCACGCCTGACACTGGCATATAGGCCCAAAGGCCGTCCTACAAAGCAAAGCAAAGCAAAGTAAAATTTCGATTACCTGTTCGCTATTTAAAGTCTTCTTGGGTTTAGTTACGGAGGCATAATCCTTTTTAATGGTAACTGCTTTTTGTGGTAGACTTGGTTGTGCTGCAGGGGATGGCGGGTTTGGCTGTGGAATTTTGGATAGCTTGGAACTTGCGGCTTGGGCAATGTACGGACAACCACGGTAGTTTGCCGTGTGATTGCTACCGAAGTTGCAACACGTTGGCTCTTGGTCAGCGGTTTTAGGGCATAAGCTGGCTTTGTGTTCACCTGAGCATTTTACACATCTAAGTGGGTGGGTACAGTTTGAAGAGCCGTGACCAGTGCGTTGACAAGCAAAACACTGGGAGGGGCCCGTTTTTTTTGTAGGACTCAACAGTGACCTTCAAGAAGAATAGATCAGAGATTTCATAGATGTTTTTCGAATTTTGAGTGTTGCCAAGAATGACTAGACATATTGGCATGGGTTTGTTGACAGGTCCGAAACGTTTCACAAGTTTTACATCAAAATTTAACAGTTCGAGTTCGGATTTTAACTCATCAGTAGAAATGTCAGTGGGTATACCTCTTAACACTACTTTGAGGGTGCGCTCCTCTGGGAGTTTGGACGTTTTGAACATGATTTTTTGATCCAGGAGAGTTTTCTGAATTAGCCTGAAGTGATCAATCACATGGGTTTTAATTATTATAGATCCGTCAGAGGTTGCCTGCGCAGAGATATTTTGTGGAGAGACGATGGCATTTTTGAATATGATCGGTGCAATTTTGCGCCAATCAGAAGATTTGCTTACAAAGATAGGTGGGATACGAACTGCGGGCTATGCGACTATTGGATTTGCGTAATCTTGCTGTGATCCGCCTGAGTTGATTTGCTTCGGGTGGTTTTGAGTAGGGGATGGGCTGGGAGGATGGTTTGATAAAATCGACAAGGTAGAAGTAGAATCAGAAAAAAGGTGGGCAAGTGGGTGTCGCTCTGCTGTACAGTAGGTTACAAGTGGGTCATTGTATAATGGATGGTATTAAATTTGAATTCAATGATATAATATCATTGTATAAGAAAAACGATTCTGAGCGGAGACGGTATGTCCTTCTAGGTATAAGACATATTATATACATATCTATGGTATTAAAAAAAATTGACCTATAATGAATTCCAAATTAATCATATCACAATATCCATTAGGTACTTATAACGCGTTATACACCAACAACAAACCCTGATACTATCATAGATATATATAGTAGATTACTTTAGAAATTTCAAGTACCCACGAATAATATTATACAATCACAACAAAATAACTAAAATCGTAATTCTTGGTTTAAATATGAAATTTTGTCTAAATTTGAAATTAAAATGTCTGTAAAAAATAAGTGTGGACATATATTTTTTAGATTTTTTGGTTACAGTATGAATTATTTAAGAGAATCTTAGTTTTAAATTTTCAACTCTTAGTTATAAAAACTGAACATTTTATAATTTTTTAATTCCAACGATTGATAATTTTCGAGATTTTGATAAATTTTGTCAAAATTCCAACTTTAAATGCTTATAAAAAAAAATCGTGCCTATGTATTTTTAATATTTTTCAACTGATATTGTAACAATATATCAGGAGCCTTGTATTAAATTTTTACACTTTTTGGCCCAACAGATAAAACTTTATTGATATTTATAGAAAAAAAAAATTGAAAGCTGTAAATGTCCATAAACAGCTCAAAAAGAGTCAAAATATTTTCAAAATTGTATGGTGTATAGGAAATGCTAATATAAACATTCAGTGAAATTTTCATGTATCTACAGTTATTCGTTTTTGAATTACAACAAAATAAGGAAATCGCTACATGAGAAATCGAGTGAAAATCCAATGTTGTAAAAATTTGAATTTCAAACGCTCATAAAAATTTAATTTGACTGTCCGGTAGAGATTTTTTTATTGATAAAGGTAGATCATCTTATAAGGAATCTTGTGTTTCATTTTCAAATCTTAGATTTAAAAAGAAAAATTTTTACGAATTCTTAACTCAAAATAATTTGCTAATTTTCGTGATTTTTCCATATTTTGTCAATTTTTGAACTTTAAATGCTTATAAAAAAAAATTGTGACTAAGGATTTTTAATATTTTTCATCTGCCTTTGAAACAACATATTAGGAGCCTTCTATTAAATTTTCAAGCTTTCGCAACCAATAAATAAAATTTTATTGATATTTTTAGAAAAAAAACTAAAAAAAAATGGAAAATGAAAATGTCCCTTAACAGTTCAAAATAAATCAAAATATTTTGAAAATGTTATCGTGTATAGAAAATGCAAATATAAACAACCAGTGAAAATTTCATGTATATACGTTCATTTGTTTTAGAGTTACACCAATAACCAAAATCAATTTTTTGGAAAACCAATTTTGCGTAAAAATTCCCGTTTTTCCTTAATTTTTATGTTGTTTTTCCCGGCGCTTGTGAAAACTACTGGGAAATTTATACTTTTGACCCCCCAAAGTACCAACTAGATTCACTTTCCTATCAGAAAAGCTACTGATGAAGAAAATCCAAGCACTTTTACTGTCCTAAAACGTGATGACAGACACAAAAATATAAATAAAAATATAAAAATATAAAAATATAAAAACATACATCATTGTAAAACCAATACATTCATCGCTCCGCTCAGAATCTAAAATATGACTCACCTGACATTTGCTCGTCGAATGATTCAGGAGAAGGAGCTTCTACGCGCTGTAGTTGAGCAGCATGTAACGGGGGTGGTGAGTAGGAATCATTTCGTGTTTTCTTCGAGTTTGAGACCGGAGGAGTCCGATTTCTTTTGGAACCGGCTTTGCGGCCGCCCATGGTGTTTCGTTTTTCAGAATTTTTCACTGCGAAGTTGTAGCGGACGTCAGCACAGAGCGAACACTGGGACACGAATATACATACCCAATC